GGTTGGCATCTCCATAGCAAGGATGCTCTCTTTGGAAGGGACATGGCAGTCCTTTGTTGAGTCATTCTCCAGAAATGCTTCATACATAATATCCACAATTTTGTGGGTATACTGGTTAGCGGCAACTTTATTTTATTTTCATAGTTGTGTAGGAACCAATGCTCCATTACCAATTTTTGTCTAAAATTTACTTTGATAATGGAGCCTTCAAGGGCTTGGGCAATGTGTGTGGGGCTTTGAAGCTATTTTTGGTGCTGCTGCTTACTTTTTTGTGACGTTGGCCATATGCAGTATTATAATTTTCTACATTTTGTATTTGTAAGACTTGATTGGTGGTACAAAACTTCAGGGGTGTTTGTCTTAGTGACATGATTCCATTTTACATGGGGAAGCTCTTTAGACAATCTGGGGCATCTGATGATGTTTGTTCAAAGGTATGTTCTGCCACACATTTTTAACACATGTACACATATAGTTCAACCTACTTGCACTTTGGTGGACTTATTCGTGATGAGAACTGTAGTTGGGGATCAGCAAGGAGAGAGCAATGAATATCACATCTGTAGTTCAACGATATGGGAATCTCGTAGGTTTTGGTAAGTTAAAAAAGCTGTTTACTCCTTTTTGCTTTCTATTTTTGTTCATGTTTCTCTTCTTTGGACTATTTTGTTTGTGTGCATGGTTGTAATGTGTTAGTCAACAAACTTATTCATATATACTACGTAAATTCATACCAAAGAGATATTGTCATAATTTTGCATTCCATGGAAGTTTGATGAATTGTTGCATCAGTATTCATTTGGATGCTGGTACTTACTAGGAAACAAATTACTTGGACGTTATAGAGTCTCCAAGTAAATATTGCCTCCTACGTGTATCTGAGGACATATTACACTAATGAAATCTACCTCTCCTTTCGAGATGATAGTATAGCACCCCTTACGTTGTTTTTTGGTTTTCTCAACATTAGTTTGATGAGAAGATGGTAAATCTTATGCGAACTTGTGTTTTTAAAATGAATTAAATAATAAACTTGGTAGATGGCAATATTGGCCTGAGCTCCTTGCATTGACAATGACAAATACCTCTTTATCTAACTTTCTTTCTTGCTGGAAATTGATAAGATACTATTTACCTGGCTGAAGATCAAAGAGATCTATATAGAACATAAAATTTTGAGGTAATTCTATAAGAATAATGTCTTTTTGAAAAGGTTTAAGCAATAGGCAATTTGTAATCTGCAACAACATGCTTCCCTTCGTTCTGGAATGATTCGCTGTCCTCTTACATAAGGAATTGCAAATTATTCATACTTCTAACTTGATCACTCAATCTTAAATGCCTACATAGGAAAACCTGCTCCGATGCATCTTGATGCTGTCTGTGCAGCTGACTGGTCAGACTAAATAGTAAAGGAACATGAGAATAATCAAGAGGTGGATTCAATTAACAATTGTAAGCAGAGATTAAAGAAACCTGTTCCAACCAAGTGGTTGCTTTATGAGGGGATTGGATGACCAAAGAACAAACAAGTTCCAATAAAGATAAAGTCCTAGACTCTCCATTTGTCCTCACATTCAACATTTATTGTTTGTATGAGAGACTCAGAGAACCTAGATGAGTTAATTCCCAAGCAATATATTGCTTAATTTCCAAGACCTTAAATAAAACAAAACTTTCTAGAAAACTTAACAGTTGATTTCCTTCTAAATGAAAAATAACAAACCTAAATTAAGTAATTATAGTAGTGTGGACGGTAATTGCTACTTCACCCAAAAAATGCTACAGTCCTGAATAATAAACACTGCAGCATTGTCAACAGTTCTGATAGAGTGCTTTATCAGTTATAAGTGCCTAGTTTTCCCATCTTATGCAACGCAGCTAGTGCATCAACATGTGCATACAATGCTTGCTTTTCCTTGGATTTCACATCTTGTTTGATGATTTGTGCATTCTGATGTACAGTAGAACGATTTTCCCTTGGAGTGAGAAATCCGACAGCATTCCTAGCAGGAGCACTGGTTAGTAACTATGTCTTTGAGACTATGTTACTTTTCCATCATTTTACTATCACTTGAATCATTCTATAAGTCCCTGTTGCTGCAAGCCTGCAATATAAATTCCTTTTTTATTGTCTTATCACCTTCCGTCTTCACCTTCAGTCTTGTTTAACTCTATTATGATTGGTGGTTGAGTAAGTTGCTTTGTGTTCAATGCACTATTCACTTATTTCCATCTGAGCCAGGTGGTTGTCAGTTCCTAATATACACATACATGCAATTTAATGTTGTATGCTGATAAAGCACTTGTTTGAAGTATTTTGATGGGATCTGATACTTGCATTAACCTTTGCGGAATTGTAAAAACGTACACCATCTGTTTAGTGGGAGTTGTTAAACCTTTCTTTTTTGTAACTAGTCTATTTTCTCTAAACCTTAAGGCAATCTCATTTTGATGACATTTTTAATCTTCTGTTTGCACCACCTACTGCACTGTCTTTTGTACAGTTACTTCAGTTTCAAGCATTCTATAGTGATCTATCATACATATGCATTTGATTATTGAACTTCTTTCCCCATCTGATTCTTTGACATGTCAGATAATTTTTTTTTTTGCTATTGTCATGTCAGATAAAATTCAACTATTGTCTAGACTGTTTATTGCATCCACACTTGCTGAATTTTTTTTTTATCTTAATGCAGGACGTATCTCCAGAATGTTTCTTTGCCGGTGTCTGTTGTGGTGGCTTGATCACTCTTCCAGTTCAGGTCATTGGGTTTAATTGTAATATTTTGCTGAAAATATCACCCATAAACACGCAAGCATACAAAAAAAAACTTCTTATCATTACTGTTTAGACGATTGGGTTGTTTCCAGATGAGATATTGAGTTTCAAGCATATCTGTTAATTTAAGTAAGAAGATGCATACTCAAGTGCAGATTGTGGATCTTCTGATGAGTACTCTAATTTTAGTTTGGAGTATATTCTACAAAATGCCTATGGAAGGAAGGCACTAGTACAGTTCTTAATTTTTCAAATATTGGTTCCAACTTGGTGCCTTGTTCTTCTTAGTTTCTGAAGGCTGTAGAAACACTCCTTAAGCGGCTAGTAACTGGCTAGCTAATGCCTTCTTGTTCTCTTCTCTTTTGAAGCTCAGTTGGGGATTGGATTCTTACTGAGAGAGCGTCCTGTGTTCGCCCTTGCAACTGTTGCAACCGTTGTGGTATATAATTGTGCTCATGTTCTGGAAATTGTTTGCCATATGCATTACGCAATCTAATCTTTGGAATTGTACAGGGAATTTGGACTGTGTTCCCCTATGCTGTGGCTGCTTCAACAGCATTATTCCTTTATCTAAGGCGACGCCTCTACTCTAGGTAGTCCTGCTTGTAAGTTTTTGCGGAATTTATTAGTCCCTGGGGATGAAGCAGACAAGAGCTATGGATTTGGTAGATAGGGGCTATGGATTTGTTCGTCTGGAGGGACTTTTTATTAATATAGTTCAGATGATTTTGCAATTACTTGTTGATTAATTATTCTTGCTTTTTCTTTGGTTTTACTGATAGGTAGTGGTGATAGGAACCAACTTAGAATGATTTACAAATTGATGTATAGCTAAGTAGTGTTGCCATTTTATCAAGGAAAATTTCCCCTTGTTCATTGTAGGTTAGATGTCCGTCTCTCTTTGTATTATGATTTTTGAAATACGAAGAGTTGTAAGTTTGTACCAATACATCATTTCACATCTGAAAATGCGACAATTATCAAGTATTCTTCAGTTTGCTTTTCCCCAACTGCTGTTTCACTCTCTTTGTTTAACATGAATCTGGGATTATCCAGATGCTTGGAGAGAACCTAGCCCCATATGCAACATTAGGTGTAGCAGGTAAAATATCATACTCTGGATTATCTTGCTCAATGAAGCTGTAGTGGGTCGGGTCCATTAATCTGATTGGAGGAAAACTCCAAGCTTTTAAGGAATGTGAATGCAAATATAAAATCCTCATGGCTATTTAATTCCTAGAAAGACAGGCTCCTGATGTATATGTGCAGACATTGGATGAGTTGAACAGAGTTACAAGCAATCTTCTTTTATCTCTTAGCACTGGTGGTTTATGACAAGGTGAACCATTTTTCTTGTAGAATCTACAACTCTTCTTACTTGGTTTGGAGGATAAGAATTACCAATCAAGAAGCAACAAGCCCTTTGTCTTTATTTCTTAATTTGATGTTCTGCTCCATTAAGAACAAATGTGTGCCTTTCCTGAAGTTCTCAACTTGCTTGGCACAGTTGCTACTTATATGTATTTGGATTAATTGCAAAGTATAGAGTTTGTCTTATTTTGGTATTTCAATATTTTAATTGCATTATTTTATTCTCTATAATATTGAATATGTTTTTATATGGTCCCTTAAGCAGATAACATCTAAATTACTAACGATTTTTTTATCATAAACTTATCACATGATACCTAAATATGGGCAAAAAATAACTTGGGTAGTACTTTACCAAAATTTGGGTAATCTTGGCCAAAAATGTGTACTATTGGTAGTTTTTTACCAAAATTTAGATTACTCATTATCAAAACTGTGTAATTTGAGTAGCTATTCAATTAAACTTTTGGTAGAAATTTGATCAAAAGTTATCCAATTTTTTTTTTCTCATATTTAGGTATTAGGTGACAAGTTTATAATAAAAAATCGTTAATAATTTAGACACTGTTTACCTAAGGGATCACATAAAAATATATTTAATACTTCAAGGACTATAATGATTCAATTAAAATATTAAAGACCAAAATGAGATAGATCTCACATTTTAGGGATCTTCGGTGCAATTAACCCAAATAATTTTTATGGTTTTGTCATAAACAAGAGGGATGTTCTCAACTCAATTCAACAAAGTTTTATCCCACTTTAACTTAACTTTGCCGATGTATTTCTATGCATAGCCGGTCTTAAGCTCCAATAAAGAAACAGAGTTGTGTTAAGTAACTGACAACCAGCGTAATATAAATTAATTAAATATCAACTCAAAAACATTTTACAAGGTAAATTATACCTCACACCTCTATTAAGAGCAGCTTACTTTTTACATATACATAAGGAAAACAACCATATAGAAAATATAAATTGACATATAACTTTCACATTACCGATTGGATATATCAATTTAGAAGTCCACCACAAGCAAGATATGAGAGCTGAATGCTGTAGGATTCTTTCAGCTCTGCCAATACTGCAGCAATGTTAGGCCTTCGCGATGCATCCCTCTCTACAGACCTTGAAGCAATCAAAGCTGCCCTTCTCATGCTCTCGACATCAAAGCTTCCCTTCAAGCTCTCATCCACTATCTCAAATGCTCCTGCCTGCAAGTATGGCTTGGCCTGCATTTGGCAAAGTAAATGACACTACCATATTATTTTGCTTATCAATGTTGCACTATCTAGATGTCTAAAGATATGTTCAAATCAGAATTCTATGCATCTCTTCGGTAATACAATATAAATTACTCGAGAAAAAACTGAACACATGACTGTTAAACTATCTTCATAGAAAATCGTCATAGTCTATATTGTAGAAAAACAAGTCAGACAAGGCTCATTGACTACATCTAGCTGTATAAAAATATACATAAGATGTTTTGCAAGATAGATCAACAAAAGCCTTTTATTTCATAGAATAAGCAAATGTACAGAATTAAAAAAGTGGAAAAGACACCCAGAAGAGGGAAAAATTATAGTAAGTAAAAGAAACTATCACAAACAGATTTCCAATTATGTTGAAGAACCAATAAAAGTAGTATCACGACATTCATTAGAAAGTTGATACCCAAAAGATGCCAAGAACTTCACTCTATCCAGTAACAATTCATTTTCCTCCTCTTTGCCTCCAAAGATTCTATGTTCCTCCCCATCAATACCACCCAAAAAATGATCAAAATAGAACACTCCCGGTGTTTGCTCTCTCTTTAAGATTTTCTACTGAAAAATGACTGGCAACTACAAGTCAAGAAGGTCTATCTAATTGCATTTTTAGGGAAACTTTACAATTGCCCATTTTTTATCAAGAAATCCATAGAATTTATAAATATAGCTAAAGGCACATAAAAACTCTGATTCTAGTGAGTAAAAGTATATGTCAAACTGTAAAGAAGCAGAACAAAGTATGCTATCAATAACATTGAAACCAATGATTATTAGCAGACTTGAAAAGGAATTTGGATTACCCATAGAACCAAATTAAAGGAGTCTGGAGTTCCAGAGCGACTTAATGGTTCTCGACCACAAATGAGCTCCAAAAGAACAACCCCAAAACTGTATACATCACTTTTTTCTGTCAATTGTTGGGTGGAATAATATCTGCACATATTGAATAGTGAAGGTGAGGCTGAGGTTCAGAGTCATCAAGAATCAAGTAAAACACAATGTTAAAAACTTACTCAGGATCAAGATAGCCAGCAGTGCCCTTGACAACAGTAGTCACATGAGTTGCATCAGCTTGGGTTATTTGTTTAGAGAGGCCAAAGTCACAGACCTTAGCATTCATCTCTGTGTCCAAAAGTATGTTGCTGGACTTCACATCCCGGTGGATGACTCGTGGCTCACTCCCATAGTGTAAGTAGTCCAACCCTGTCAAAGATATTGAAAATGAGACAGTAACTCCAAAAAAAATTAAAAATCAGATATTTCACAGACAAAGAACGATTGAGTGAAATCCCCCCCCAAACCCCCCAAGTTAAATATAAGACTATCAATTGCATGTTGATAAACTTAAAGAAAGTAGAAGGTTTTCCTTTTTTTTTCTTTTTATTCTGTTTCTACTCTTCCCTTGCTCTGCCTGGAGGTTGAAAATAGAATATTCTCTACATACCTTTTGCAGCATCAACAGCAATTTTCAGTCTGCGGACCCAACTTAATGTTATTCTTTTACTATTTGAACCTGAAATGACAGTTTGTAAATACCTATTAGAATCATAAACAATGTCATGGAGGATATACAGGCAGAATAAGAAAGTGAATTTGATATTAGTAACTGGATACAACAGAATACAACAGAACCACAGAAAATAGAAGTCAAGTTTTGTTCACTTACCATAAAGGTTATCAGCCAACGATCCACCAGGCAAGTATTCATAAACTAGTATCTGCTGCTTTGCTTCGTGACAAAAGCCTTCTAGAGATACAAGATTCTGATGACGAACTTGGGACAAAAGAGACACCTAGGTAACAATCCATGACATGGTAAGTAAGGCAGCCCAGGACAATTGTTAATAAAAACCAAACAATCGTGGGAATTTTAAAAAACCTCCCCGCCATGTGATTTGAACTCAAATTTGGCCTCGTGTTTACAAGCCAGATTACCAAATGCCCAGTGACAAATACATTTATATGATTGCAAACGGCTGCAAAACCAAGTATAACCAATACCAATTATATTGAGATGACTCACGATAGTCTAACAATTTCCTATAACCGATAACTGTAAAGGGAAATCTCTGAGCCTGTTAAAGATAACATCATACTAAGTAATGAATCTGTAAAAGATCTGCAAATTCATCCATAATATTCTGGCAAGAATACTCAGCTTGCACTTACTAATGAGTAAAAGATCAATAAAATAAGATGCTTAAGGAAGGAAGCTGATGAACCTCATTGAAAAAAGAATCAACCCCAAGTTGAGTTTTATCGAACCGCACTTTCACAGCAACTAGTTTTCCATCTGGAAGTTTTCCAAGGTAAACAGATCCAAAACTACCACGGCCTATAACCTCCTTAAAGTTGTTTGTAGCCACTTTGATTTCTTTGTAGGAGAAGACTTTTGCTGCATTCCAGTTCCGCATCTCTGACACTGATCCTAAACATTGATACATGATCCTGTTAAGAATAAAGCAATGAAATTTGATTGTGAACAGCATATCAAGTTTTTCATACTTGCTGTGTATGTCGCTTCAGTTTTCTTTCGCCTCGTGTACAAGAATACTGAAAAAGAAATAACAAAAAGAGCAAGTGCGACTCCTCCAACTGCACCAAGTATAACTGCCAAGTGATTTTGGCCCTTCTTATGCTTGCTTTTGGTAAATACAGTGACTTGTGGTGTCTCGATTGAAGGATTTATTGAAAACTCATTGCATGTCAATGTGGAGAAGGAAAGGCATAAATTCCCCGATGTTCTGCACCGAATTAGTGCATCAAGAGGCTGTTATCTGAAGCAGAAACAACAACAATAAATCTGAAGCATAGACAGCAAGAATATCAATCCCATACCTAACTTCCAAACTTTCTCTGTTTAAAGACTGCGGGAGGGGGCCTTGTAATTTATTGTGTTCCAGATTCCTGAAGAGGACGTCATAAAAAATCATGAATTGTTGATCCAGTTTCACGCTCTCCACTTGGTGAAGTCGCTTAAGTTTTCCAGACAAGTTTCCAACAGTAGGAAAGAACTGTACTGCATCATAGGATAATTGGATTGTGTTCACTTACAGTAAGTGAAGGTCCTTCAACTCTCCCAAGCTATCAGGAACCATTCCCTGTAATCTATTATTGTGCATGTCCCTTCATTTAGACAACACATTAGTATCACCTTTAACTAAAATCTCTCGGTGGTGTAATGAAATAATGGAACAATCGACAGTTAATTTCTGTCAGATATGGGTGCAGAGTGAAAACTTACAAAATTTGAAGATTAATCAAGTCTTCCAATTCAGAACCAAAGGATGTCAGCTGATTGAAACTCAGGTTCCTGCGTTGTTCAGTTCATGAATGTTCGAGTAATGCTATCTAAAGAAACAAATTTGGAGAATAAGTACTCCACAAAGAATTACAGTTTTTCAAGGCGCTGCAGGCCACCCAAGTTCTGAATCTCTCCAGCAAGTGATGTATTATGCAAATCTCTGCAAGCATGACACCCAAAAAATAAATGCAGGAAAGAGAGTATGAATTGACTATGATCAAAGCAGCATAAACTAACTAATTAACATAATCAATACAGTAAATTCTGTAAAAACAAACTTACAGTGTTTTAAGATCTAACAAATCACCAAATGTAGGGCTGATTGACCTCAAATTGATGTTAGAAAGTTCCCTAAGATGAGGTTGAAACAAGAGCAATAACGCTTAGAGAGAAGACAATAAAAAACTAGAAAACGACCTATATAATATTTGCATACAGTGAAGTAACCAAACTTCCTTCGCAGTTGATGTGATTCCATGGTATAGGAGAACATGGATCATCTTGCCATCCCAGATCTAAACCAGTGGACTGCTGAATAACCTGAAGTGCTGAAACTGTCAAAATATATCGAGACAAGTAAGATCGGATGACTCTTGCAGTGGAAACAAACCAAGCAAGTATGCAAAATCATGAATAATTGAACCTGTAGTTGAAGAAGACTCTGGGGGAACATCAACAATCTCATACACCTCAATTGCGTTGACCATTGGGTTGAAGCTGATAGTCTTCAATGTGATGTTCAAGTTTTTGATTTCCTTCTGAGTAAAGAATAGAGCACTGACGTCCCCGCTCTTCACCGTATAGTTTGGCTGAACAACATCTCCGTTAATCAACACATCAAACGTCGGGGAAAGAGGAAGGATCCCAGCAAAATAGAGAACAATGTAGTAGTCTCCAGTGTTATCAAGAGGAAAGTTGTACACCAATTCCTCCCGTCTTGACAAGACTCTAGCAGTTTGAAGAACAGCCATGGGAGGATTATCTTGAAGAGTTGACAAATTGAAGGTGCTTTTAACAGCAAAGCCAGTAGACAAATGAAAGGGAGAAAAATTCTCATCAGCATCCCATATACGATCATAAGGATCCAAAGGGTACCTGTCATTACAAAAACCAATTTCCAAAACTTCAGCAGATATGCAAAGAGGGAAAAAAAAAAAACCAATGTCCTGCGGGGTCTTCTCCAGATGCACGCAACCTCACCCCACATACAGAGTGACTGTTTCTGCAACTCAAATCCGAATGCAACCACATGGTAGCAACCTTACCAATACACTAAGGCCTTATAGATAACGCAAACCAAAATCAAATGAAATAATGGAGAAAAAATTCTCACCGCAGTGAACCATTTGTGTCTCCACAGTTGATTCGATAACTCTTCCTAAGTAACTTATTGGGGAAATCCTCCATGCCCTCGTTATAAGCTCCTTGCGGAAGTGGCCGAACTTCAAGATATGAAATAGCAGGAAATCCACCATTGGGGATCGAATGAAAACACAGAGGGAGACTATCTTTATTAACAGGCAATATAAACTCTTCGATCCACGGATCATTTTCGGTGAGGTTCACAGTGGTAGTAACAGCAGTACCAAGAGAAACAGAGAAGGCAGGGGGTTTTCCAAGTTCATCATAGTTCTTGTACACAAATTGGGTCCTAACAAGAAGCGAAGATGATACAATTTTTGTGGGCAGCCTGTAACAATTTCGAGCTTGGGAATCGGGGAAGAACCGGACTGGAAGTTGAGACGAGGAAGTACCCTCTATGTAATCAACAGTAGTTGTGTTGCCAATTGTCACATAAGTACTATCTGGTACCCATGAAATGTTGGACGAATCAATGAAACTCGAAGTTCCTCCGCAAGACAAACTCAAGAATCCTGTTCCATTTATACCTCATAAGCAACATCCGAGCCTTAAAGAATGTGTCTGTGTGTGTGTGTGTGAGAATTGAGAGAGAGAGAGAGCTAAAGCAAGGACAGGAAGCTTTGTAAGTCCTACTATTAACATTATCCATTAACACTAAGCAACACATGCCCAAGTCTAAACTGGGGTAATTTATACTACATTTGGAAACTTGATGGACGAAAGAGCTGCAAAATGCAATTGAATGTGAAGGGAAAGTAAAAGGCAAACAATGCATACCGTCTTGATCACAGAAAGCAACTTTGCCTAAGCAATAGAATAGTAAGAACCCAAACCAGAAACCCCAATGCAGTTCCATGAAGTGGGCAACTCAACAATGCCAAAGAAACTGGTCAAGAAGTTCTGAAATGAACTGTTTCGTGAGAAGAACAATGTCTTGAAAGAACAGGTGAATATTGCACAACATCAACAACAAGAATAAGAGAAAGTTGGGATTGAGACAAAGGGGTTATGCTTCTTGGGTGACCACTTGATGTGAGCAAATAAGTGGAGGAGAGTTATGATGGCGGTTCTGTGAGCTTTGGAGAGAGAGAGAGTTTGTTATCATGAAGGCGGGGAAGGTAATCATGAAACAAGGTGATGATTGTCTCCGTTAGGTGATAGTAACAGTAGTAATAGGACAAAAGTAGAAGCAGAATGAGGACCAGAGTGGCCACCATGCAGATGATGTGCAAGAATTACACCAACCTCCATCTCTCTCTCTCTCAAATCCTTCTTGTTTTTTGTTTTTGACTCGAACAGGCTAAGTCATTGCTACGGTTAGAGAAAGACCAAATCACTGTCCTCTTCATTCTGTTGAGTAATTGAAATCACCCGTTTACTACATTTATAACTTATACCCAGAAATCACTAATGGCAACATGTATGTGTGTGTGTGTATATATATATATATATTATTTTGGTACATTGGAAAGTACCCATGTTTGTATTCAATTTGCTTTCATTTTCACTCTTCTTCCAGCAAATGGGAAAAGATAGAAGAGTGCATAGCAGCTGGTCAGCTGAAGAGTAAGACTATTTTTTTCCACAGATGTTGGACCCACCAGGAAGAACCAAAGATTGGCCAATTCTTGCTCAAGACTCTGGTGGGATGATGCATAGGATGCTTATAAGTCCAGCAAGGGAGAAATGATTGATTTTGTAATTGTAATCCCCCTTTTTAGCTTTGCTTTTAAATCCATACTCCATTAGTAGGACTATCTTCCTAATCAAGCTAAATCAATTTCAACTGCCCAAAATCAACTCTTTCCACAGCCTACAGAAACGCAAAGATGATGATACTATAGTTATCATTATGCATCATTATCAATGTGAATGAAGCATATTTTTGTTCTTTTTCGTAGGAGGTAGGAGTCTAATTTTGGTGAAATGGGCTTTATATCTCAGCCCAGTTTAACTTGCACTATTTAGGACGTGGAAGAGATTTGCAATATTCGGGTTATGCTTATTTCAATTACTCTTTCAAGCTTTAAACCGACCACCATAAGAATCAAATTCAATTTGAAGCCAAATTTTAAGACCATAAATTGAATCTGTAAATTGAACGTCAGTCCAAGTCTCTAGTTGACATTAGGTTGGGTATTTTGCAATTTGGGCTGAATTCAAATTAAACTTTCACCCCTCCAATATTCTGATTCAATATTTTCTTTTTCTTCAATTGTACATGTGAGAGTTTCAGTTTAACTTACCGGTAAGAAGCATGTAATCCAAAAATGCACAACAATTTCTCTCGATTCAAAGTAGAAAAACCACTCCTCGCAACAGCCTGAGGCGCTGATGCAAGCAAGCATCATCAGTCCTATCACTGTCAATTGGGTGCTGGATAACTCCAGTGAAAAGAGGACCCAAATTGGAGGTAGGCTTTTAGTCCGACTCCCTCTAGCCTGTCTTCAGATACCCTTTTTGGGCAATACCATGTCAATGCGAACAAACTTATTGCGCATAACATTTTTTCATCATTGTTTATTTGGACAACTTGAAAATTACAGGAAGTTCCCTCAGAAGCCTTTCAAGATAAATGGATGAAGCGCATGATCATAATATTACAGATAACACGTTGACTGTTGTAACCAAACTCAAGGAAGTTCTCAACGTGTACATACAATACAAAGTCCAACCCTAGAAAGTTTTTTCATAATCTTGATGCTTTGGCTCCCAACATCAATCAAAGACGCAGTATACATAATGTACCTTGTAAGAATCAAGCTACAGCCAGTAGCAGAAAAAATATCCATTAAAATTAGGAGTTGCAAGAACATAAAAAGGAAAAAGGAAACTCTCCTCATGCTACAAACCTCCAAAAAAATCTCAGCAATTATGTCCAGAAAATTCAAAACTTCACAGGAGCAAGGATATCTAGCTGGGAGCCAAGTTTCTCCTCTGCGGTCTTCTCAGCCTTGACTCTTAGTCTAGTCAGCTGCTTCTTCCTATCATATGCCACCTGGGCCCTCTCTTTCCTCTTATTTTCTAGCTCCTGTAAGCAACAAAATAAGTTGCAAGGACAAGATGCCTCATTTGCTTGTCACATGACAATTCACATAACAAAAAACGTTCTGGTCCAATGTAATTATATCTCCATCAAGGAACCACAACTTGATAAGCATGCAGATATTCTATGCAGGAGACATCGTAGTGTGATGTTTAGTTACCATTATATCATCAACTGAGATAACTATTTATTAAACAGGTATTGTAGTTTAAGTAAAAAAGATCATAAGCTCAAAGCAAACTTTGTTCCAGAGAAAATAGCACTAATGAAACACGCTTTCGGAGAACAATATTCAGAACACAGTTGGAATGGACAAAGCTTGATACATAAAACTGAGAAAGCATAAAAGCTTGTGGTCATTTGGCAATTGGCATCTTGATATGAAGTCAATAATAGCCTAAAGAAACACTGTAATTTCGAGAGGGATTGGTTACATCTTAGCAATGTCATTTATGAGATAACATGAATACCAGTAGGCAAAACAATGCAAAAGCTAGAATAATGGGGTGAAAACAAAACCCAGAAATATTCAACTATGGCACTCGTAACAACTTTGGGATGATCAAAAACAAAACAATCATTAGTGAAAATCAAGAATCGGTGTTCACAACAGTTTCATGTAATCACATTATGCCAGGAACAGAGAAAAGAAGTCCAATAATCAATGTCATTTATCTGTAAGTGCAGCCATACCCAAATGAAATAAGGTTTTAAGACAAATGCCAGGCTTCTGATGATGCTTTAAGCAATAAACAAATACGAAAACCGATTACTGCTCTTCAGCAATAGATACAAAACACGGGCTATATTTATATCTGTCTGAATGAATATAAAGCAATAATCCCCCCAGAAAAAGGCAAAATAATTGCCCCATAATATAGAAAATACAGAGTTTCAGTTACCATACAGAGTTTGCCACGGGAACATACAAGAGAGAACCCATCTGTTACCTTAATGGTGTCATAGTGGTTCCACCCAACCTCGCTCGACAGCCGCCCCAACAAACAGTACTTGTGCCCAGCCTGAAGCCTCAAAACCCTAATTTCATTACACAAAACACGAAACTTCAAAATCAACACAACAAAAGATCATAATACCCAAAAAAAAAAAATGGATTCCAAACTTTCAGACCGCAACTTTTTTTCTTCTTTTGCAACAACTTATCAAAACAAAACCCAAAGAAAAATCCAAGAACTCACTTGGGAGCATCGGGAATGACCATCCTCTTCATCTTATCGTATGGAGGTGGAACACCGTCGTACGCCTTCAACCTCGCCAGCGCCGCTGCCCCCTCTCTTCGTCTTATGGGGAATCATCCTACAAAATCCACCAAATCACACAAAAATACATCACATGCACATAGATGAGAGAGAGAGAGAGAGAGAGAAACGGACCCTCGAATGGTGCGCCAGAGGATTTTAGCAGGAGCGCGAAAGTGAATAGGACCATGAGAGGGCTTCGTATTCATACGCTTGCGGAGGAAGCGGAGGTACTTCATTTTCTGGCGAACGAGGCCACCGGAGAGGGCAATCTCTTCGCAGCGTACCACCACCACTTTCTGGCCGTCGAGGAGTTCCTTCGCCAAGATAGACGCCAGACGGCCCGCGCGCAGATTCCCGAGCCGGACACCATTCTCCGTAACTCTGTTTGAGGTACTAGGGTTTCTTCATGGTTTAGTGATCGTTGACAGTTTAAAATAACCAAAACACCCCCAAGGTAGCTTGTCTTTCTTTTCAGGAGATTAGGTCGAGCCCAGTCGAGAAAACTGGCAAGTGACATTTAATGGGCTTCAGTAAGGTCGAGCCCAGTTGAGAAACCGACAAGTGAGTATAGATAAGAGAATTAAACGAGAGCCAGAGGGATTGTTGCCAAATCTCAGTCTTGATTCACCGTAATAATAAATGCTGCTGCATAATAACTTTGGAGTAGAACTATCAGTACGATGAGGTTAGTGGATGACCAACGCTCCTGCTGCTGTAGTTGGACTTTAAAGAACTACTACTGTACACTCTCAATTCACCGTAATAAATGTTGCATAATGGAGTAACTTTAGAGTTGATGAATGGTCAATGTCAGCGGATGGATGACCATCGTTCTTCAAGTTGAACTTTAAGGTAAAGCCTTGATTTCATAATTCTCTTCTCCTGCTTCACCAAAAATCTGTCAAGATATTCAAATATTTCTTCTTTTATATCGTGCTACCTTTTATAAAAGGGTGTAAATCGTCTTTTAAGAAGAACGATATGGCTGCACATTATCGTGTCGTTTACTTTAAAATAGTATCATTCGTAGTTATTGTTATTTAATGAAGAAATAATGGAGGGTGGTTTCCAGACGTTGGGTTTTTGGGATGGGACTGCCCAACCAACCAACCATCTTTCTTCATTGATTAATAAAGTGGTGGAGCAGAAAGTGAATGCATAGCATAGCAAATTACTACTATTGAAAACGAAATTCATTACCCCACCTCATGATTTAAATTTTGAGACCTGGGTTGGGTACTCTCTGCTTTTGGCACAGGTCCTGGTTTGGTGAGATAACCTATTTTTAACCCAATTGCAGATAGAGTTAGTCAAATTGTGTCTAAGATAATTCGGACATTTTTGATTAATTTTTTTTTTTTTTTAAAATAAGGCCTGACTAAGTACCTTATTAATATCAACAAATTCATTTATAATTTTGAATAATGCTATACAATTCAAATAAAATTTAAAAAGTTGTAATTCAAATGTACATCATCTTTTGGATGAGTGAGTTTCATCAATTTTTTAAATGAGATCCGCTAATCGAACAATCATCTAACAGATGATATGCATTTAACTTAAAAATTTTTAAATTTTATTTTGATTGTATAATATTTTGTGTGGCCCATGACACGTGAATTCAACTTTAGGACAAACAAAAGGCCAAAAATAAATTGGCAGTAGGGTCGGCAATTGTCTTATTAGTTCACAAAGGAGAGATTATTAATGCTCCATTTAGTAGGAAGAAGGATACACTTTTATTTATTTGTGTTTGGTTGGATGGATAAAAAATAAAAATGATAATTTTTTTTTTTTTTTTTTTGTGTTGGCTAAGATTAGAAGTGACAATCGAGTCGTGTTGTATCAAATTCGTGTTGAGTCATTACAGGTTTGAGTCGAATATTAGTCAAACCTAACTTAACTCATTTAATTAATTGTGTCGTGTCGAGTTGCGAGTTGACCTTTGTATTTTCGTATCGAGTTCAAATCGTGTCATCGTGTTGAGTATAAAATTTTCACCCTTAGTTAAAATGGAAAAAATATTTTTTTTAATTTTTAATTTTTTTAATATATATATTTATATACATACATATTTTACCATTATATTTTTATATGAAATTAATGTATACATAATATATGTATATATAAAAAAATACATAGACAAATAAGATATATCTAAACACAAATAATTAATTTTTCATCTACTTTCCATCTGATTTTGGAGGAATTGATTTTTGTGAGTTGGAAGGAAAGTTAATTCATCCACTTTTTCATCTTTCCTACTTTTCTTATTTACCAAACATGATGTTTTATTTATCCCTCTAATTTTTTATCATCCCAACTTTCCATCTTCTTACTTTTTCATCGTACTAAATAGAGCGAGACTTATGAACTCAAACAAACACACCTAGAATTTTTATGGATGATCAAGTGGTCAAATTTATTCAATACTTTTCATATTTTTTAAGCGTCGGTCACCCTTATTTCTCAAAAGACATATTCTTAAACTAGTTTGAATTATGATAATTTGTTTAAAATCACGAGAAAATAATCAACACAAGTTTGAACACCATAAAACAAAAAAAAAGATAAAAACACTGTAATTTCAAGAGGTTGTTATATCAAGGAAGACTATGATACGAACGAAGTACTGTACTAAAAGTCATAACATTTATAACTTTCATGAGAAGATGTAATTACTTATGACTCAAAATGACATAATCGATCAAAAATATTTATAACTTTTAAAAACTAAATTATAACTCAAAAAATAAAAGTTACAATTAACTAAAGTAATTCATGATTGTTCACAATATTTCTAAAATTACCCCCAAACACCGTAATTTCATTATATTTTCAATACGATACCATATTTTTTTAAATGGATTACTATCCTATTATAATATATCGTTTTTACTTAACGTGCGGTAGCCATACATCGCTCTGTTGTCCAATATGATTATCCCGATAGGAAATCATTGAATATTTTAGTGGTTCTAAATATGATCTAATAATTTTTCACACGACACTCTGATTTCAACATTTCTTACATACTTACATTTTTGTTCAAAAAATAAAACAACATAGTTACATTAGCATCTTTGTGCATACTTGTAACAAGACGAAGATAATCTTTAGGAGTGGTATTGTAGTTGAGTTTGATTTTTGGTAATACAAAAATTTTATATTCAATCATTTCTCGCACGAGTTTAGAAGGTTATTATACAATTTTCACAAAATTCACTCTAAAAATCGCATTCAGATTCCAAATCCTCGTACCAACACATGCCCTTAAAGATGTACTTTAACTTAGCTCAAATCAGTAGACTATATTCCTTTGTTTTCCTTTCCTTTTCTTTCTTTTTTGACTGCCATAATTACTTTATTATATATCCCCATCTCATTTTCTTTCTTTCTTTTTTTTTTTTTTTGGCCTTTTTCTTTGGTACAAACTATGAACATCAATAAACTGAGATTCTTCGTAACTAACATTTGGTTGGACTTAATTTTGGACAACAATTGATGGGGACTTATTCCTCCTCTCCCCAAAACCCCAAACCCATCTACCTATAGTATATTTAAAATTCCTCTCAAAATTCATTCTCTTATCAACCATTTACTAAATTAACAAAAGCCATGATTGTTAGCTTTTATGAGTTGTTATAATGTTAAATTATTTTTTTAGATATTCCTTTTCACTTTATTCCTAAAAAAACACAAAGATTTTCTCATTCATATTTGCCAAAATCTTTTAGTGTTAATGTCACACACAGTTAATCTTAATGGATAGTTCAAATGGTAACAGAAATAACCTGTAAATTTAAACGTCTTGAATTCGAATTTTGGCAATTCATTGGAATCAGATCATGATGAATTTATCCCTCGTGAATACCTTAGTCTCGGTATAGATGACCTGCTTTTAATTAGACCGAGGAAGAGATTAATCGAAATATGAGTAAATTGGACTAAACACTTTTGACTGTTAAACAAAAATAAAAATAAAAATAAAAATCACAAACAGTTAAGTTATTACGCAAGAGATTGAGACGTTCAGCGGGACTCTGATAATCTTGATATTGTGTTGATCATCGATTAATAAAATTTATACCCATTTTCCAGAAAAAATAGTGGCAAAGAGCACTTAGATCATATAGGAGGGACACAAGTGCAAAACTAGCATACAACAAAGTTATAAGGGATAATTACACTTAGACTCCCTACAATTTGTCACTTAATCACTCAAACTCTTTGACATTTAAAATATTACAAACAAACTCTCTGAAATTTGTACGCGCATAACACTTAGACCATTGTTATAAATATATTCGTTAATTAATTATATTTAGACCCCTTAAATTTAAAATATTATACTTAAATCAAATATATTTCAATCAAATATTTTAAATTTTATAACAAAAATTTATGTTTTATTGTATCATTTATTGAAATAAAATTAAAATTTTAATTTTTTCTTAAAAAATCATAATTAGTATACAATTATACTATCTATTGGAATAAAACTAAAAAAATCAAATAAGGGGTCTAAGTCATTCATAATAGAATATAAATTTTACATCTAAATTCATATTCTATTATGTCACTTGTTGAAATAAAATCAAAAATAAAAGTCTAGTTTTTAAAAAAAAAATTATAGTTAGTATATAATTATATTATCTATTAGAATAAAACTAAAAAATTAAACAAGGGGTCAAACTGTAATGAACACAATATCTTTTAGTTTTAATTGGAATAGTTTGGTATTTTAATTTATAAATTCCAATAAATAATATAATTGTATACTAATTACGATTTTTTAAGAAAAAAATAAATTTTTATTTTTGATTTTATTTCAATAAATAATATAATAGAACATGAATTTTGTTGTAAAATTTAAAATATTTGACATTTTATCTTTGATTACAGTATTTTTTGTCTAACTATGATATTTTAAATTTAAGGGTCTAAGTATTATATACCAACAATCTTTATGGGGTCTAAATATAATTTATTGACTGATATATTTACAGCAGGGTTTAAGTGTTACACGCGTATAAACTTGAGGGAGTCTATGTGTAATATTTTAAATATCAGGGGATATGAGTGATTAAATGACAAACTTCATGGGGTCTAGGTGTAATTCTCCCAAATTATAAAAATAGCTTATTCAATAATTTGAAATTAATGAGTGGTTGAATCGAGATTTTGTTAATTATTTACCTACATTATTATAAAATTCAACAAATATTTTAGAAAAATATGGCATTGTAGTTCCAAGGCTGACACCGTACAGTGCAGCCCATCTATCCTCCTTCGCTACCAACCCCATACCCACTCAAATCTACCACCTTGAATTATTAGCTCACCCACAACCCCCCTCTCTCTCTCTCTCTCTCTCTCTCTCTCTCTCTCTCTCTCTCTCTTGTAATTTACACATCTCTCACCCTCTTCAAGCCCTTTGAAGAGCTAAAAGCACAGATCTTTACCACCATTGTTCTCAATTTTTCTGTTTTTTTTTCCCCTAATGGGTACCCACGGAAAGGTCTTTACTTTAGCCGAGGTCTCCGAGCACAACAATCCCAAGGACTGTTGGCTCGTCATCGGTGGAAAGGTATACTTTTTTTCAGTTTATTACATGTGGTTCGATTTGTCAATGCTACCACATGCCTTTACTAACCATATCCGTCAAAGATCCAGAATATTCATTAGCTTTCTTTTTTCTTAATCTGGGTTATAGATTTTGTTGTGTGCACCGTGTTTTTTTTGAATGGTAAGATGAATCTAATCTGATTTAGATACTCTGTTCTCTATTTGACAATTGGATTTTTTTTGCCCTTCTTTTTGATTATTTGTTATAGCTCTCTTTACCTGTTTATATAGATTTGTGCTGTAGCAGAGTTCTGAGACTTTGCCTATTTGACCGTGATAAATATTGAGTCTAAATGCTTAGATCTCTTTATATAGGCACTTCAGTCTATTGATTCTGGTAAAAATTAAAATAAGCTTAGATGCTTTAAAGATAATTCTGGATCCTGAAGTTTCTAGTTGATAATCTCGGCCAAACATTCCCTTTTATTTATGTGGGCCTATGAATTACGGACATTCTCGAGAAGGTGATGAATCCATGTTCAACACCGACTCTAATCCCTCGTCGGATACTCGTCGTATACTCTCAGACACTCTTTTATTCATGTCCATAATTAAATAATAAAATTTTAATTTCAGACATGTATCCCACACTTCTTTGGTACTGTATTTGACATTTCTTTAGGTTATGTCTATTACTAAACAATAAACATGTGATTAATGAAGCTCAAAAGTTTGACTAATAAGGATCTTATATGAGAAAACATATAACTACCAACACTAGACATGTTGAAGTTATACTAAAAATATAATAATAAAAACAAAATATGCATAAAAGTTTTCAAAAAGAAGAATTGAGAGAATGAGAGTAATCATTTACATTATATATGTTGGGTACACATTTTTTTACACAAAAAATTGATGATTATTGACTATTATTATGCTTTGGTCAAAAAATTCACACTACATAACTAGGCATTACATTTACCTATCACAAAGTACTGATTTGTTTTTATGAATATAATGTATGATTATCACTATATTTGGGATAAATTATATACTTTTATAACGTGTTTACGATGTGTCCGTGTCCTACTTTTTTGAGAGATATCGTATTCGTTTCGTATCCGTGTCTCGTGTCTGTGTTTGTGTCTGTGTCCATGCTTCTTAGATGTGGGACACCTTTTTATTCTTGCATGAATTAAGTTGTGATGTTTAAAAGATTGAGACCATCTCTATTATGATTTCGCTCAATTTTCACTCACAATGTTATGCCATTTACCATGGTTTTAAGTGGGTCCTCCCATTTATAAATGGCCCCTCACCCATATATGGTGGTGACTACCATTGAGTGAAATTGAGGGAATGTGTAACAGAGAGGATTGGGATTCATGATTAAATACCTATTAACTAGGTGAGGTATAGATGCAAGATTTTGGCAAACTATTTGATATTGGAGTTACCGCTCCGTGGTTTAGATGCAGGATTTTGCTAAATTATTCAGTATTGGGAGTACTCAAATGGGGAGCTTTTGAGTGATTACTCTGTTAGTAACTTAAAATCAGGAAAGCCCATGTTGGACCCTTAGGTTCAGATGCAAGATTTTCCTTATCTTAAAATATCAGGAATACCAACATGAGATTACATGGTGAAAATGGAAGGATCGGGCTTTAATGATCCTATACCAGGAATACAATTGGGGTTAAATACATCAAACAGTGGATTCTCCTTTTGTGGTTTAAATACTGGGAAAATGTTCACAATTTTTAAAATCTTTTGAGATGGTTGATTGCTGTCATTATTGATATGATTATGTGATCTAGTGTTTTTGAACTTGTAAGTACATTTTTTGCTTTGTAACTGGTTCAACATTGTTTGCGCTGTTTCAATTGCTTGTTCACTTGATATGCAGTCATTGTCTGTTTAAAGGTCTTTTTCCCTTTTTTTTTTCCCTTGCATCTGGCAAAGATCTTATTTACCACTATTCTCTTTCTCCTTGGCCACGTATCAGTTTGTTTGATGATATATGTGTTGAATGCATGATAATATTTGATTGGGGGTCTAAATATTCCCACTTGGGGAAGAATTTTCGTTCAGGTCTTATTTTAACTTATGATTTTAGCCTGTTCTCAAATTTCCGCGAGTGTCATAAATTTTCATATCATCAAATGATTGAATTCCTATTGCTTGGCTTACAATTTTTTTCTGTAATTACTGTATGATTTTTATGAATTCTTTTGATAAGATAGCTTGTCCAATATTGACTCCTGTGGGATGAGATATAATGAATGATATATTTAAAATGGACTCAGACTTAGATTTTACGCCTCCTTAACATGTTTTGATTTCTTGCCTGATTTTTGATTTTTACAAGGATGGATATTTTTGAATGCTATTAGCGAAAGCTATAAATGTGGATTTTAACTTGTGCTTAGAAGGTGCAACTCTACAACACCTCATGCACACGAGCTCAGTGTTCTGATTCCGTCCATGCATTAATACGTTGGAACAGGTATATGATGTGACAAAGTTCTTGGAAGACCATCCTGGTGGTGACGAGGTTTTGTTGTCGGCCACAGGTACAACAAAAACTTGCAACATTTGTCACATTACGAATAGCTATGGTGACTTCTTGTGTTCTGTTTGAGTTGTAGTGAAAGTTTACACATAGCAGTAAACTTTTAAGTTGGAAGTTAATTGTGGCATTATAGACCCAGAATACAAAATTTGGGGCTAAGCAATACAATACATGGACCCTGGTTGATTTCCTGATGATTTATCTGTTGCAGGGAAGGATGCAACTGACGATTTTGAGGATGTCGGTCACAGTGACAGTGCAAGAGCGCAGATGGATGACTTCTACGTTGGTGACATTAATTCAGAAACCATCCCCAGCTCGATCAAGTATACTCCTCCCAACCAGCCTCACTACAACCAAGACAAGACATCAGATTTCATCATCAAGCTGCTCCAGTTCTTTGTTCCGCTGCTTATCTTGAGTGTGGCTGTTGGTATCCGTTTCTATACCAAATCATCAGCTTAATATTTGAGCATGTGAGAGAATTGGAATGCAATCGGTAATAAGTTTGTCCAAGTGACTTAAGAACCCCCCCCAACAACAACAAAAAAAAAAAAAAACTTAATTGTTAGGTTTGGCTCTATTGTTGAAAATTCTGGGGATAGTAGAAAGTTTCAACTTCTAAGTGGTAACGATTATGTGCTTGTTTTCTCTTGGCTTACTTTCTGAAACTCGAGATTTTCCTCATTGTTGATGTGCCATTGTGAAAGTTGTCTCTTTTATATGACTTCGTTTATTTGTTTATCTTGTGAATTTTGCTCTATCAACGAACCCATGAACTCTGAGTACCATTAGACCAAAGGCTTGTCACGTGTTTATTGGTTGTTTGACTCTTAAAACAAACCTCTGCTAAAGAGGAAACTCATTTAGCTTTCAGCATGATCTTCACAAAAACAAAAGGAACTAATAAGGTGGATGATCACGTTTTTTCCGAGGGATGGTTATTAACTAGGTCTCCCATTACAGCTTTTTCTTTGTCCATAAGCTGCTGTTTGCAGCTTTTCCTCTTAAATCACTGTTATTGCAGTGAGTTTTTTTTTTTTTTTTTTGGTCATTGCTCAAGTGTCCTTCGTAATCCATTTGAGGCTCTTTGACTTGGCCATGGCGCCTCTTTATCTGCAAAACCATTTTTTATAATTCAATAATGTGTTTTGAATGTAATGTGCCCTTTCTTTTGGTCTCGGCAGGCCGGGTTAAGATAGAATCAATGATCAAACTACCCTGATTTTTAAACATTCCTCCCTCCCAAAGCCGTGCTTTTGAACTTATTTACTTGGCTACAATAGCTTTTATAAAAGCGTTAGTTTGACCCACGTTTTTCAATGTCAAAGTGTGTCTGCAAAACATACTTTGCAATGAAAACCCTGAGTCAACTAAGATAGAAACTACAGCACATTGAAAGTGTCATAATTTGGTGAAAAACTCGGTTAAGGTACCGGACAGTGCCACTACTAGCTGAAGTTTGTTTTCAGAATCACTAAGAAAAAGATAAAAACAAGAGTCTCCGGCCATTGCACATACAGTTAGTTCATAAAACACCAAAAGAAGACAAAGGGACCTTCTAAGATCCTTCCACCTTTATCTGATATTTAAACTGGATTCTAACAACTTCTTAGAACAAAGTGGACCATACCTGATACCTCCAATGATCCTTTCATAGAATTCTCCACCATTTTTTTGTTATTTAGTGAAGAAGGCAAATTATAAAAGGGTAAATAGGTTGCCTTGTGTTCCTTCCCCTTTGGTTGTTCTGTTTACCTAACAGCCAGAATGAAGCAACCTACAATGAGAGTTTCTACCAGGGAAAAAGGTGTGCTAAAGTTGGTGCATCCAGGTGGGTATGTGGAGATTCACAAAGAACCCATAACTGCAGCTGAAGTCATGAGAAAGAACCCGAGGCATTGTGTTGCACGGCCTGACGTGTTTAAGTTTCCATGGATTGTGGTTCGACCTGAGTCTGTTTTGATTCCAGGGAAAGTGTTCTACATTGTTCCTAATCGCACAATCCATCATTTGTTAAAGGCCAGAGGGCAGTGTAACCAACCTTCTTCACAACCGGACCAATCTCCAAAGAATCAGGACCATCATCGCGCTCCCAAAAGAAGTTCACTTTGCAATTCAGGGGCTGGGATGACACCCAAGCACCATTACCATGAGCAACGCCTTCAGAGACAATTTCAATGTATGCCTCAGGATGGGACAAGTTCACAGGAAGAAGACTCCAATGGGATTCTCGCTAAAAAATTCTTCATCAAGTCACGTCCTGAGCCAATCATTAAGACCAGAAACACCCACCAAGAATTTGATAATAAATATCAAGTCGATTCATCAGCTTACATTAGACCTCCTCATTCTAAGGAATATCATTTCAATGGAAATGAAATTGGTTCGGTATTGCCTAAAACCAAGCTTGGTAATCTACAGTACAAAAGATGTAAAAAAGTAATTAACTTGAAATCTTGTCAGAGGAAGCAAGACAGTGTTCGTAAATCACTTTATCTTAGGGTAACTTTTTCTTTGTCAATTAAAAGTGCAAGTAGTCAAAGAGATCTCCAACAGGATGCGTGAGCTTGCTAGCTCGTTAACACTAGTTAAACTGCAAAATTTTGAACTGTATCATGTTTTCATGCTTTTTGCTTAGCCTCTCTATATGGTCATGGTTGTCTCTTTAGAAGATGTATTTTGTTCCAGTACAGATGCTGTCATTAATTTGTTCCGCCATATGCTGTCCATCTAATTTCTTTTCGAGGTCAGTTGCTAGCAAAATTTTTGGACTCCCTGCTTTCTTATGTTGAAAGGAGCGCAGTAATCAACTCACTAAATCTTAAATCTGAACTAAACTTTACATTTGAGACAAGGCTTTTACATTTGTCAAGATGAGGAGAATTTCAAAGCCTTTCGGACAAACACAAATCCACTCAACGTTACAACCTTAAAATAGCAGCACAGAAGAATCATGTGAAAAGTTTTTCACCAATCTTTCATTTGTTCACCAAGAAGACAGGTGAAGAGAAAATGGTTTGCAAAATCTTAGCTTATATCATGGTGGCATCAAGAAGCCTAGGTTAATGGAATTAAAGTAAGAGTTCAGCAACTTCAACTTTTTAATGAAAATTCATTCCTTTCTCTCGAAGTTCAGCCAGGAAGAGAAGAATAAGGGGAATAACATGATTCAGCAGTTTAAGCATTTTAATCCATATGACTATATCTGACGATATCTATAAAATGTCAAATTCAAAGAAGTTAGAACTAAAAACAAAACATAATCAAATACTTCTGGCTTTCCAATTGTTGCTATAGGTTTAACATTTCAAATAAGTTTTAAGCTCTAAATCACAGAAATACGTATCAGAAACTTGTTACTTGAGAGATCAATGGTTTTCTATCAAATTTTCTTTTTACCTTTACACTGCACCATCAGTTTGTTTGTCTGTGTTCTGTCATGTGATATTTTATTTATGCAAGCATGAAATACAGTAAAAATATTCTAAATCATTAGCCTTCTTCCATCTGTTACTTTTCTAATTTCTTCGGCAAGAACTTCTAGTTTAGTAACATGCAATACATTGACTCACAGTACACAGTACAGAACACAGACAAACAAAGGTGTGCTAAAGTTGGTCCATTGATCATTTGAAGTAGTTTCGAGAGTCTAAACTGTTTTACCTCCGTTGCTATTGATCATAGTAAGATTCAGGAGTTTTTTTGTCCATTCAAGCAATTTGGAATTCATGACTAGACTGGGGAGTTATAATGTAAAACAGAGAAGCCATTGGAATTGAAGATGATGAAATGTTTGGGTGAAGGCAGCAGAAACTAAGTCAAAGAATCATGGAACTTCCAGAAAAAAACCCTCAAGTCATTTGGATATCAGTTGCTTGCAGCACACTAGACAACTTACAAATGTAATTGACTCAATTGGGTTGTGAGCACAAGAAAAAATTAGTAACAATTAGGAATACTATGGTACCCAAAGATTAGATAACCAGAATATTAGTTTGAGATGATTGGAACATTAAGGCTGCAAAATACTTGAAATTAGGATGTCCCACATGTTTAGGTTATACAATCTTGCATAAACTATATCAAAGTCTTGCTCACTGAAAAACGACCCCTGTGACTGAAACAAGAACTTCTTTCTGTTGCTAAAGCAAAGCCCATAACTCATGTACAACATGGGAGTAAGAAAAAAAAAAGTGTCAATAGGGAACCAAAGGAAAAAAAACCCAAAATAAACATAACTGACGACTTGCCTCATAGTTACACAACAGAAGCTTTTAACAAAAATTGAGCAAATTGAATTACCTAAGAATTGTGCTTGTTCACGTTCTCTCGGTTAGTTTAGAATCCGTTCTTTGTGACTGTTTTGAGGGAGAACTTGATCCCCTTGAAGAACTATGACCGAAAAAGTTCAGCTTGCCAATCTTTTTGGAAAAGGAACTCATGAATTTATGAGAATTAGATTTTTCCATATCCCTCTTCATACAAACATGTTCTTTTTCCAGATCATTTAATCTCATCCGCAGTCGAGCTAGCTCAAGTTTCAGCTCCCGGTTCTCTCTCGCCTTAGTGATGCATAGTTGTCCCGGGGAGACATTGCAGCACTGAGAGCACCGCTGCTGATCCGCCAAGATTGATGCATTGGCTTGTGGTCATCATCAGGATAAGAGCAGGATAAGGAATTTCGGAGCCTCAACTGTTCAAAATAAAGTACTTGCACAATTGACTGGAGAGGAAGGCGTTCATTTTGTGCAGCATGTGCACCAGCTTCTTGTGAAAGCTTTTGAAAATCGATCAGGTTGCAGAGCCTCTTCTTATCTGGATCTGATAAACCCTGATGAGCCTGCAATATGCAGACATGGACAATCAGACAGATATTTCTGAAGCTTGATTCAACTATTCAAGAAGTAGGTAAATTTAGAATACAAGCTAAAAGTTCTTTTCCTCGGATTAGTTGCTTTTACACCACTGTTTTTTCAGGGATGAAAGTGATTTAAGTGCTTCAAAATGAGAAAACATTACAAGCTTTAAGAAACATGCAGTATAGAAATTTTTTAAAGCAGTTTTTGTGAAGTTTTGATTCATATCCAAGCAATCACTTCCAGTGACACGATTCAGATAACAAAAATGCAAGAGTTGATACATATTACAAGAGAATAGACGAAGTACGTACTTTGAGGTAAACATCAATGGCTCGATAAAGTCCATCATGAATAGTACGTGCATGTGCTGGTAAAGTTTCTGCTAATGGCTATGAATTTGGTGAGCTTGAGATTTGCATCAGGTGCAATTTCAGCAAGGTAATTGTCAACAAATTTTGAAACTTTGAATAATGCAGTTTGGGAGGGTGAAGGAGGACTATCAGATTCAAATACTGAGGCATCTTCCATATCATCTTCGCTATCATCTTGCTGAGCAAAGTCAACCAAGATTCTGTGAACTGTGTCAACAAAATAAAGTGTCACCAGCATGGCGGAAGGAGGGGATCAAAAGATCATCAAGAGTAGCTATATCTAGCTGTGACCCAATCCGTCTTTCAAGATCAAGCCTACAAGCAACTGAGCAGTCAAGCATCAAAGCGCTTCGCAACAACCCAAGAGAAAGTTGATGGGCACAGTGAATTTTTCAACAGGAAGAAGGCTAACAATTGTCTCAACCACAAGTCTCTCATGCCCACTTGAACCAGAAACCAAGTCAACTTTTGGCTGGCTAGATTGATTCCATAAGCTGGATTTCTTAGTCAACTCTTTCTGAGCATAGTTCACAAGTGATGCTCCAATACTCTCAGGTCGGACACCACGACATTTCATGGCTGTTATAACTAACTGATACAAGTCAATCCGAAGAACAGAGAGATCTTCTATCCACCAGTCTCTTCCACATTTGGCCTGCCGGTTCATGTGAAGTCTTCCTGAGCTACTATACTCCAAGCGTGAGAAGCTCGAAGCAATTTGCTCTACACAAGCTTTAGAGGCTATAGCATCAATACATCGGCCAACAATTTTCAGCTCATCAGCTAGAGGAATTAGATTTTCACAATGTTGCAGGACTTCAACACACATTTCAAGATTCTTGCAGACAATGCTATCAAGATATTCTTCAGCACGGGAACCAAGATTTTCCTTAGAATACTCCTCGTTCATTTCCAGGTAATCTGACACACAGCAAAGCTGAGCAACATTTGCAGATATAATCTCGAAGTTAACACCATAGCAGAATTTGGCTGCCAGCTCAAATGACTCGGCACCTCCGGGAAGGCTCAAGAGCTCAATCCTTGATATATCAGAATCCCTGTGTTCTGCTACCAACTTCCGGATTCGTCCACTCCGAGAGACAAGAGGGAACTGCAGGTAGTAGTTAAGTTAATAAGAATTCTAGTATCTCACCACCATTTATTTTAATTATATTCAATGGCTTAAATAAACACACTTACATCATGGAAAAAAGAAAAGAAAAGTGCCTACCATGTGAGAACCGTTCCTCTTGGAAAAGAAATTAGTGGCTACTTATGGAACAAATTTACACATTACAAACTTGGAAGAAGATTCTGTTAAAAGGGCCGTATAACACAATCATTAAGAAAATTCACTGTGTACATCACTGTCATCACATTAATGCAGAGAAATAATGAACATAAGAAGTCTGATTTTGATGCTGAAGCTTCACCAGTGGGCTAATAAGAAGAATCACTTGAAGCTTGATTTAGTTGCTGGGAAGCTAGAGGGGAAGATAGAACATTATTAACAATTCATGAGGCTCAAATGGGCGTTTCACATTTGAAAACATGTGAACAGGGTTATATGAGGGTACAAGCTCACATCATTAAGCATGAGAACAGGGTTTGACCATGAAGCCTGAAAAAGTAGGGTCTACTACCATTTCTCCCACAAAAGAGGGTCACAAAATTATGGTCTTTTGGTTTTGATTACATTGATTTCTTCTTACCCACTAAACCTTATTTTGGACGGTGAATATTATTCACAATTTGCAATTTTCAATATGTAATAAAAGTATTTCAGGTCTGATAGCTTAATTGACTCAGGCACTTACATAGAACACAAACAGAAAAATAGAATTCTATTCAAAATGTGGAATACTGGCATTTACCTTATGCAATGCAAATGTAACACCATCCACTTCTATCGTTATATCACTAGGAACATCTCGGAATATCCTGAAAATGATGATCAACAGCCAGTTACCAATAGAAGAATATGAACATTTACTATGAGTCAATACATCAGTTCAAGATCAGAACAATATTTGACGTTTGCTAAGACACGTAATGATGTTTTAACAACTAGAGGAAGTGGGGGAAACGAAATAGGCAAAGCCAGTAAGAAAACTATATACGAGAAAGATATGGAATACATGCATTGACTGTTGCAGAATGCAATTTCAGACTAACAGTTCCAGTGTCAGGAAACATTGAAA